AATTCTCTATGTAGCACCCCACACTCTGGGAACCATTGACTTACAGTGATTTACACTGTAAGCCAATAAATAAAATAAATATTTTATTTATTTTAAAATACTTTGTATTTGTAAAATAAACCAGACAGCTCACCAACACTCAGCAAATTACAGCAAACCAGGATGATTCTCTGATAAAATGCGTCCAATGTGATGCAGCTTCATTTTAAGACGGATGCCCAAGTGTGATAACCATGCTTCTTTGACAGAAATGTTTGAAATAGAGAGGTTTTATTGAGTTATATTACATAAATTTCTGTCTGATTTTAGATATTGTTCTGCATTGACATGTTAACCTCCCGTCTGGGCTGTCCTAATTTTTTTCATGACATTCTTTCAGGCTGAAAAAAATGCCCTCTTCATCACGGATAGAGGAGAAAAAAGAAGAACAAAGGATCATTTCTGCTAAGCTTTCTTTAATACAGAGCTTAATCTCCTAATAATCCTATTTGTTTGGGCTTACACCATACTTCTATGATATGAGGTCTGAATGACAATCCTGTTTTAATTGCCTAATATCAAATAAACAGGAATACTTTCACTTCTGTAAGCTCAGTTTCTATTAGAGGGTTGTCAGAGCAGTGTCACTGTCCAGATAAGCTGCTGTGTGCGGCTCGGCCTCCAGTCGGAGAGCTGAGGCCAATGAGCAGCGACGGTGAAGCTTTTCCATGGCAGACTTTCCATTGCTTTGCATCCTCAAGGAGGGTGTCGGTAATCGAGCGCCTATAAAGACTGCAGTGCCCGTGCCAGGATCTGAGGAAATTGATCTGAAAGGAAGGCAGAGTACCCAAATGGATAAGTAAGTTCAGGTGGTTCTGTGCTACGGGTCAGCAAGGTCATGCGAGTCAGGCCGCACAACGCCCAGCTGCTCTGAGATGCTGTTAAAATTTGATATGTTAATGTAAATGAATTGATTTTCAGCCCTGGCTGCAGCGTTGGATGTCAGTGGATACGCATCCAGGTGCAGAGAGACTCTGAATTTGTTCCTGGACTGAGAGAAAAAGGACAAGAGATGCTTTTCAGAAACGACGCTGTAATTTAAGATTCTGCTCAAATAGTTTTACTGTTTTGCTTCATTGCTGCCTCAATGGAGCCTGTTCATCACGATGCTAAAGGGAAATTTTAAGTTGTAAAAAATAGTGACATTAATTCCAGAAATAAGTTATGATCTGCATTTGTATGGCTTTTAATGCATACAGAAAACTTTTCAACTCACCTTTTTGACACAGTCCGAACACCTGGAGGCAGTCCTTCATTCAACCCAATCTGTGTTGAAACACACTGGCTCTCAAAAGTATACTCACCTTTTAAATAGCAGACTTCTGTGATGTGAAACCACAAACTGTTATAAGAGTTTTTCTGCACTTGATGCGACTAATATTCTGTCAAATTCAGCAGAAAAATGGAAAAATAAAGACGCTGCCTCAATGGACAATGGTAACTTTGACTCCTCCTGGAAAGTTTATCAAAATGTTCTGCAACAGTCAGTGTCTTACATCCTTCTGAGTCAATATATGGAAGCTGTCACTTGCCAAAGTTCTGCATTTCTATCTGTGAAGACATCTCTTGTCTTCAAATTTAGTGCAGCTGTTTTCTCATGAAGCCAATTTGTTGCATGCTTGAACTCACTGTGTTGCAAAAAATAAAATGAAAATATTCCACTGGATCTTTACCTTTTCTTCCAACCCCTGAAGTTTTAAAGATCTTCAGTTTTGATTTTTGCTGTTGTTAAACGTAACCTTTTGGACCAAAACACTTTCTCCCGCAAGGTTTTCGAAAATCTTAGCCAGACCAAAACCCAAGAGGATTTCCAAAAAGCCTGAAAAATTGTATTGTTTATTTTCAAGTTGGAAAACTAATAAAAGAGGACTTAAAGCTTACATTTTAGCTTCTTTGTACAACTTTTGTTGTTCTTGTCTTATTATAATGCTGATAGTAGTTAGTCTGGTCAACTACAACCTCAAATAGATTTTATTTTATTTTATTTTATTTACAGTAGGAAACCAGAAGCCTTTCTCTCAGGCACAGACTGATTCGGTTTGCAGGTTTTCCTCATAACAACAGAAATGCTGAATGTGCGCCACGTTTTCTCTTAAAACCAGATTATTGTTTTCTGCATTCAGAACAAAATCCACAAGACCTGACACAGCTTCTTTGTCCTTGGAACTTGTGCTGGAGGACACTTGAGCCCCCATGGGAGAAGCAGGTCTTCATCTATCATCTCAGGAGCTGTTTTTGGGGTTGCAGTGATGCAGCGCCCAATCGGAGCTTCTCACAGATGCAATGTGGGGACACTGCAGAAATGTGCTGGCTAAAAATAGTGCTCTCTGTGCGCAATGGTTTTTCTTCCTCTTTCCTTGAGGTCCTCTTGAGAGGATGAAGTGCATATTTAAAATGTCAACAAGAGCGGATCTGTTTCGCTACTTAAATGGGGTGAAGGGCTCGCTGGCGACTGGGCAGGAAGCCTGGATTAATGTTCAGACAAGTTTCTTGCTTGCAGAAAACACCATTGAATCACAATTGTATTTCAACAACGTGTGCTTTCATATTTTAATTAGCACACACCTGATAATTAAGCGCTTGCACTAAGCAGGTGTTAAGAAATTTACATGGGAGCAGAGAAATATAAGGTATTTTGGTGAAAAAGAAACCGCTGCGTGGGCGAAATAAACCAGAATATGTGACAGCGACTCCAAAAAAGACGACAATTTTATCCATGACACACACACACAGAAATGAAATAGTATGGCAACCAATGGATTATCCTGCATCATCAAGTTCAGTCGCAGGCACAAATTTCACAGCTGGCAGGTCTCTCCATGCGTGCTGTCAAAATGCTTCTGCAGAGGCACAGAGAAATAAAAGAGACAGAGTTCTGGAAACAGAGCAATACGAGCTAAGAAAACATCACATGCAGAAAAAGAAAGGCTGAAATGTCCAGCAGTGCCATTAGCCAGAGCAGAGATCTGAAAGGAGGCAGCAGGTGCTCCGGGCTGACGAGCACAAAAATTACAATATTTGAATCTGATAGAAGGCAATACACGGCGGAAAGGCTGAAGGAGCTGTGAAAAAATGATGGGAACGGAGGTGGCGGTTTCACACAGACATGTTTCTGGTTTCCAACAAACGGAGCACAAGCTGATGCTTGTCTGTCAAGCTGCAAATGATTGGTCATCATTCTGAAGTGATATGAAACCCCCGAAATGTAAAGTGGGAGTGACGGAGAGCAATTTTCTGACTCACAGAACAAAGAGAAGTACATCTTGAGGTGATGGAGTCAGTCTGACATTAAACGCAGACACATAAGGAATGTAGATTCGTCCACATTCGTTTCGTTTTTGTTTTTTCATCATTTTACTTTTCACGTCCAGCACTTGTTATTTCACATTTGCTGTCATGTCTAAGCAAATAAATCTCTTCTGCAAAAATACAATCACTTTCAATGCTGTGAAAAAATCTATTCTCTCTTTACAGAATTATTCTAATTTAACCTTTTGTCACACTTAAATCCTTCAGATGTTCAAGCAAATACCAACTCCTCCCTCACTTCTTTCCTCAAATCACTCAAATTTCACCTTTCCAGTAACACAAAGACTTTAATGACTTCATTCAAATGCTTCTTTTGCATTTACTTGGATTATGTTGTTCTTTTAGTTATGATCGTGGACATGTGAAATAGAAATGTGACAGATGAGTAGCAAAAACAGGAGAAAACAATATTCTGTAAAGGAACATGTACTTTTCAAAGAATTGTTTTATTTTTGTTTGTTTTTTTTAGATTTTTCCATCCCCTATTTTATTCCTTCGAGGCATGCACACCATCTTACAACAGTAACTTTTGGTGTTTGAGCGTTTCCAGATTTTATGACGTCACAATCACAAAATTCAATATATTTTACTGGGAATTTGTGTGAAACCAATACAAAACAGCGAATAAATGTAAAGTGAAAAACGGCGATGGATCATTTTTGAAATTTGAATCCTACTTCATTTACTCTGAGTCCGTCATTCATTATTTAATTTGCATATTATTATATGCGACCTGAACCTTTAATTTTGGTTCAAGTCACATTTGGGTTCTTCTGAAATGTGAGAGATTATAGATGATGATCAAATCAAAACAACTCAGAGTGCTCACCTGCTGACAGACATTAGTACTGAGTTCAAAGGTTGCAGTAGACGGCTGCATTTCATATCCCGAAAAGTCAGATTATGACAAAATTATTCATATATCTGGCAAATTTGGTTGAGCGATCCTTTCATTCAGTCAACATATTTATTTAAACTGGAAGCAGTTAATTTGTTTTCTTGACAGAACCAGTAAGAGTTCTGACTTTAATCTAGTAGAAAATCTGTAGAGCAAACTAAAAATTAGACTTGGAGATAATCACCAAACAATAAATCCTCAGAACATCAGTGGAAACATTCAAAAAGCCAGACAGCAGTTACAAGAAGGGCTTGGGAATGTGCAAATAAAGATTTTTGCATCTGTTGTTGAGAAGGTTGTAAATCCTTCTAGCGCGCCCCATCAGAAACAAACTCCTTGGTTAATTGAAAAGAAATTTAGATCTGAATCTTTCAGGGGTGTAAATAATTGTGGGAATAAACAAGGCATGAAATTACATAGTTAGCACCAACTGAATGGTTGTGACAAAAAAAACCCCCGAGGGGATCATAAACCCTGCAACTTACAAGACTCTCTTAGTGGTAGAAGCAGCTGCTTTTCTGATTTCCAGTAGCCAACAGCTGTGCTGTAGATTCAACTTTAGGTTCTTTTTAAGCAGAAACAACATCAAAATAACTTTTGATGCAATGCTTGGTGTATAGTTACAGTGGAATAAAGTTACTAAAACCAATAGCCCAGTAGCCATCGTACCTTCCCTGCAGACTCTTGTACCTCAAGTTTCTGTACTGGAGCAAAGCTTAATGAACCACTTTTGCAAAGACCAAGAAGATTTACATTTTTACATGGAATTCTAACCCATTTATTTCGTCTTTTAGCACATTTACAGTCAGCGAACCCACCAATCCCATTGCCATTTGCTCTACCTACACAAAATCTTCTCACCAGGACAACATCAGACAAAAAGTAATACAAACAGATCAAGGCAGTGCTTCCCTCAGTACATTAGTCTCACCCACCAACTCTCTTTTCACCCATCAGACAAAAACAGTGAATTGAGATTTTGTTTGATATTGCATAATTATGCTAAGGGTGAGATGACATGCAGTGCTGTTGCCGAAGCATACTTAACATGTTTGGGTGTGTGTGTGAGAGAGAGAGAGAGAGAGAGAGAGAGAGAGAGAGAGAGAAAGCTTGGTGAAGTATTGTGATAATGTGTTGCTAGCTCACAGCACCATCTGGGTACATCCTCTTAAAAAAGCAGCCACTGTGGGCGACTGCACATGCAGAATGTGGTAGGTTGGTGAACTGAAACGATGTTTCCCCTGAGGTCGCTTGTTGTCAGTGATGCTATGACCTGCAGTATTCCTTTCTTTCTCGTCTCTGCGCGGAGAGGGCAGGACGTTTCGCATAAGTCTCAGTCTGAGTTACACGTGTGCATATCATTCACAACACTGTGCAAAGGTTACAGATAAATAACTCACACTGCTTTGTATTTTTGTGTGCTTTGCAATCCATCCTGGCAGGACAGTCGTATTCTCTGGTACAATATGTGCCTTAGAGTGTGCAGTGTATCGCTAATGCATTGTAATACTCTTTACTGGCGGTGATGTGACTCTATAGCACCATCTTGTTGTCTTTACTTCCCCCCGTCTCGCTCATTTTCAGAGTCTGTACTTTCTTAAGAGCTCGGATTGCCACATGTACTTCCTCTCCGGGAAGTGATCGGGAATCCTAATGCGCCGGAAGTCCTGAATGCATTTCTGCAGCTCCTGCTCCGGAGTCATCTTCTCTTTGTGCGCTTTCCTCTTGGCGGCGTCTCGCTCCCGCACGCCGAAGGTCCTCACGCGCAGCATGTCCGTCTTGCGGCGCATCTCGGCCTGCTGCTGCAGCATGAGGGCCGGGCCTTTGGGCACAGGTCGGTCCAGGGTCTGGATTTTGGACTGACGGCTCACGGGGGCGTGGATCACGGTTCCCTGGGGGGTGCTGGCCTCCGACTGGGTCTCGGAGCAGGAAGTGGAGAGGTCGTTGAAAGAGGTGCCACTCTCACCCTCGCGCTCACTTTTGTGGCTCTTGCAGCAGCAGTCACAGTGAGAGGACGACCACCGCGAGGGCCCACCTAGGACAAAGCACGCAAAACATTTGTTCATTTAATTGCTGGCGAATACACATATTGAAAGCCATTCCATATTTCGGGGCTTTACAACCACAATTTCTAATGTTTTATTGTTATTGTAGCTGATAACCCAACACAAAGTAAGGCAGAGAAAAAATATAAAAGACTGGACAGAGTAAGAAGCTGCAAATCTATCAAGATATAGTCATCTATCAAAACCTGGAGGAGCTGCAAAGACCCGCAGCTCAGGTGAAAGAATCTGCAGGGAGAGCCTCTGACTCCACATATCTGCCTGCTATGAATATGTGACAAGACAAAAAAGGATGAAAAATCCCGTTTGCAATCAGTTTCATGCCAGGTCGTCAGCTGTCAGCTATTTGATTCAGGTGTGTTGGAGAAACGATGCATCGACATGTTGAAGGACATCTCAAGGTCTTGACCTGATTTAGACCAAGGCCTATTTGGTGTAAGCAAATGTTTTGCAAACTCTACGAGCTGCTGCTAGTCTTGACCGGGATTCTCTTGCAAAAGAGATTTTTTTTTTTTATCTCAGTGGGATTTTCCTAGAGATGTAAAGGTTAATAATAAATAATGAGTTTGTCCCAAGGTTCAGACTTTGATCCAGCTCAGAATCCCTTCGACTGCAACAAAAATCTGACATAAAGGTCAACACATCCTTCAAGACTTGCAGCTGTAATTGCAGCAAATAAATGCGCTACTGACTGCTTTTGTGTTGACTCCCTAGAATACAAATGCAGAGCAAATTTCTCCAATTTTGAAATAAATTAATCAGTATTTTCTTTCAACTTCACACTTATGCTTATTGCTTGTTGGTCTATGACACTGAATGGCAATACAGTTAATCTAAAGTCGAGGTTTCAATGTGCAAAAATAAAATGGCAAAGGCTTCACCTGATATTTATGGAACAACGATGTCAGATGATTGTATGTGCAGACATTTAAGGGGTTCACAGCAGTTTGAACATCTGATTTCTCGTATGATATTCTGTGATTAATCCACACACAAAAAGCTAGTGAGCTGTGCATATTTCTCCCTGTGATAAGATCCGGAGCTCAAACAGCTCAGCACGGCTCGCTGGAAGACCTTTCCCATTTCCCACGGCAATCCTCGCCTCAGACGCAGCGCAATCTGCTCTGCTGTCACGGTTCCTAATTAGACCTGTAGTCTAACCGCCAAGACAGTTAGCTAAGTCACATGAGCCAAAAGTAATGTGCTTTCTACCTTTAGGGAGGCGCCAAGGTAAAAATAATAAAAATAATAACAACAACAACAATAATAATAATAATAATAATAATAACAACAACAATAATAATAATAATAATAATAACAGGCTAGAAACTTGCAGGTTAGAGAGAAAGCGAATGCATTCAGCAGCTGACCCTGAGGGTCTCCTGGTCTCTTTTGAGTTTGGATAAATCGGTACAAGCAGAAGATTCCAGTTGCTTTTCTCTCTTTTTTTCTACCTTCCTTTCGTCTCATCTCTCTTCCTCCTACACGGCTAATTGCAGATCAGAAATACTGTACAGTACAGTGCTGCCTGCTGGCTTGAGAAGAGCTAGAGTAAAGTCACTGTCTTTCTTTTCCCAAAATAGCTAAGATCTGCTTGCAGTCAGAGATGTGCTGTGGCAGCAGTAGATCTGTTAATTGTACGTAAACAGAAAACACAAACGCTGAAGACCTCTTAATAGCTGTTTTTTCCCCCAACGGGATGATTCAAACTCAATATCTCAGCGGTGGCGCAATGATTTGTCCAGTGCCTCCCTCCAGCACATGCACCAATTTAAAACAGGCAGAGTTCAAGGGGGATTTTAACCTCTCTGCGCAGACTATAATAATGACCTTATCTCTGCTGCGATGATTGCATTGAGCTGATATAGTCGGAGAGCCGCTAACAGCTTTTTAATGGCTAATCCATGAGTAAAGAGGCCAATCAGCGCACCAATTTCCCCCCGCAGAAAATGAATCTGGCTGAATCCGGCAGCAGACGAGCAGCGCAAATGGGAAATGGATGCAGGCGCTTCAGTAAAGGGGGATCAGGAGCAGGAGGAGGCGGAGGCAGAGCATTGTTTCTAAATGGATGGATGCTGTAGTCCAGAGGGGCAGCCCGATTAGGAAACGAGCCAACACCCAATAATAGCAAGTGAAAAAATTTCCAGGCCATGTAAGAGACTGAGTAATTAGCAAGGCAGTGAGAGAAAAGTACCTGGAGGTCTTATTTTAGCGATGGAAAATCACATATTAAAACACAAAGTTTTGTGTTATGTAATTTCAGCTGAGGAAAAAAAAGGAGTCCCAAGAGCAATCACTTTGGCTGTAATCTCAGATATTAATGAGGTTTTTACGGCTGTTAGGGGCTGCTTTCTGCAAGTCATCGTTAGGAAAAAAAACAAATGAAGCAATTTTTATAAGATCTGACATCTGTTAGCAGCTGCCAAACTCCCTGAATATTCAAACGAGTTATTTCAAAGCAAGAAATGAGAAGAGCTGATAAGCAGAGAGCAAACTGCGGTTCATTAACTAAAACTTTTAGTCCTGGTCCAGATGGCAGCATGAAGGACTAAAAGAACTTCAAATCAGAACATCAGCAGAGCCAAAATAATGAAAGCAGCAAATACGGATATGATACATCCGGTTTTGCTTTTGAAAAGCGTGTCAAAAAAAATCTGACGCAATTTATTTCCAGGGAAGGATTAAATAAAACAATTAAATATTTCTTTCTGTCAGAACAGTCATAGTAAAGCCCTTATAAAAAAATAAAGAAAGTCAGTAGATCAGTGACAGTTTGAAGCTTATTCCACCTCCGTTTCTCTTCAGAATCGCAATAATTCTCTGTAGCATAGATATAATATATTAATATTCCTCAGCTGCACATCCATGATGTTGATCCACCATTTACACCACATCCCAAAGGTGCTCTATTGGATTCAGATCTGGTGACGGCAAGCCGCCAAGGTGAAGTCACTGTCATGTTCAAGAAACCAAAGTGAGACTCAGGATTAGTGACGTGTTGTATTGTCTTGTTAGTAGGTTTGGATAGGCACACTGTGATTAGTGACAAACATAATGAGCAATGATATAATAACAAAGTTGCTTATTTTGTACAAAAAGGCCCAAAGAGTGCAGAGAATAAATTCCCAACAACATCAAACCACCGCTGTGATCCTGAACCACTGATACACAACAAATTGGATTCACGCTTTCGTGTTGTTAACATCAAATTCTGACCCAACGACCTGAAGGTTGTAGCTCAAATTGAGAAGAGGCAACCACTTTCCAATTTATTATTGTTCAATACTGGTGAGCCTGTGCGAATTATAGCCTCAGTTTCCTATTCATAGCTGAAAGAAATTGCCCACAGAGTGGTTTTCAATACTGTAGTTTATATACTTTGAAGTTCACAGTGCATTTACAGATATTTTGTTGATATACTGCCACCGTTTTTCATTTTGGAAGCAGTCTCCCCATTGAGACACTGGATCCCCAAGGTTCAGCAACACAACTGCTGCTTTGTGGATATTTTCTGTTTTTATGCGCCATCCTCTTTAAATAAGATGAATATTTATACCTGACGGCTGCACAGTGGTGCAGTTGGCAGCACTGTTGCCTTGCAGCAAGAAGGTTCTGGGTTTGATTGCATCCTGGGGTCTTTCTGCCTGTTCTCCCTGAGCATGCATGGGTTCTCTCCGGGTACTCCGGCTTCCTCCCATTAACTATTAGGTTAATTAGTCTCTCTAAATTCTCCCTAGGTGTGAGTGTGTATGGTTGTTTGTCCTGTCTGTCTCTGTGTTGCACTGCGACAGACTGGCGACCTGTCCAGGGTTAACATACCCCGCTTCTCACCCGGAACGTTAACTAGGGACAAAAAAAAAATGGATGAATGGACTTATACCTAAAAATCCCAATAGAGAACAGCCTATCTGCTACCAATACATAAATATATTGATTTGTCTTTATTTATTGTTGGTGTTTGGTTTGAGGATGTAAAGGTGACTGTGTGAACTAGAAGGTTACAAATGAGCTGCAAATCAGAGCTAAAAATGTTGTCAGAGTTTAGTGTCATAATGCAAAGAGTGTCCTTTTCACATGATAACATAAGAAACTCATTTACCCCACTCATTTTGTAAAAATAGGGAATAATGTCATTCCTACAACACGTCCTTGGGCAACACTTTTAGAAATTGCAAGGCACTGTTCTCCTTAAGATAACACACCAGGTTATGTCAAACAATTTGACAGCGGTTTGTATTTCTCATTTACAGAATCAAAAGCTTTGACCAAAGAATACTGAACAGCGCTTTTTTTTTTTTAATGACTTCATGATAACATTTGTAGCCACCATTGCTGATCTAAATCTAAAACCCAAGCAAGAAGAAGAATATAGGAAGGTTGATAATATCCAACTTGAACGAATAAATATCAAAACATCCAGAATTTGAATCCGTGGCTGAATAACAGATGAAGAGCTGCATTCTTCTCTTTAAACAAGTGGGTGTGTTCACTTTACTATCTTTTCAGGGAAGCTATTGATTGAAATGTGTTTTTCTCAGCTCCGTGCAGCCTGACTGAGAGATCTGATTTCCTCCACATTAACAGACCGAGGCTGGTTCTGAAGCCCGACTGAGGCTGTGTGTCTGAACTCCTTATAAATAACACAGATGGAGTTGAGCTCAGCACAGAGCATGTCTCACGGGGCATCCCCCAAAACTCCCCTTCTTCCCCCCCTCTCCACCCAACAATGACAGCGGCGATGTTTGTCCTCATCTTGCCCCAGAGAGATCAGTTTTGTATAGATGTGAGTGCTTGTAGATTTTAGAGGCTCTAATTGGCAGGAAAGTAGGACATGATGTGGACTGAAGGCAGAGTTCTCTGACAAATTCAGATGTAAAATGTCACTGAGTTTATTTCCCAGCGTCCATTTTTCTGTATAACTTGAGCTTCTTATTTTGATGATCTTAGAGGGACTTTTAACTCTTGAAGCTGA